GGCAGGGACACCGTGGGAGGACCGAGAGATCGGGACCCACCCTCCCATCGCATGTCCGCGTGCTCTCGACAGGAGGCTCTTGTTCCTTCACCTTGAAAATCACATCCCCTTTGACACATCGTCTCGATTTTGTTTGTTTTACTAGTAGACATTTTGCTTATCAGAAATGTTATTCATAAGGATATATTTTATATTCGTGGAATAACAACGGTATCAGGTCTCAAAAGCAAGCTTTTCTTTGGGCAGAAATTAGTCATTAAATTTCCGAGGCGGGTACGTACTTCGGCACACCATCGCGCACCGCTGTAGGGAGGACGGATGTTTCATCGTCAGAGTGTTGATATTGAGAAGATGGAGAAAACGGCAGGATTTGGGGTCCTGTGTGTCACCACTGTTCAGGTCCATCTGTGGCTGCTTCCATGTGGGATAAGCAGAGTGGAATCTGTTGCCGTAGGACGGAGTCTGCCCAAGCCAGGGCGGAGGGAGGATGCAAAGTATCCCTTCCCGATTCTGCCACCGTCCCAACCTTCAAAACCAGCCTGGGGGTGGAGCAGGGAGGTGTCTGCCCCTGCATTGTCACCCTCCGCTCATGTAAAGCAAAGTGATTTGCTTCAAATACCCACCTTTGACCGCATCTGAAATACCGTAATTTCTAAGACTCAGCTTGGTTTTACCCACCACTAAGAAGAAAAACAACTGCCAATTCTAGCTGGGAGATGTGATTTATTGATTGTGGTCAGAGAGGATTTATGAGCAGAAAAATGAAAGTGATGTAGAGAAAACAGAGGTGAGGCCCAGAAGCAGGTGGATGGGCTGCAGGGCAGCGTCTGCCTTGTTTGACACGGTTCGAGCAGTCGGCCCCCTGCAGGCGGTGGGAACTCACTGGTCGGGACAAGAGTAAGTTACCGTCTGTTTACCGCAACCCGGGTACCGTGCGCTACGTGCGTGCGGAGAAACCTTCAGGCCAGACTTACAAGGGGGAAGCCTTGGGCTAAACGTAATTTAATACTTATTACTTTGAAGTTAGTAAAGAATATGATTTGATGTTGGCATAGAAGCTAGATGTAAAGTGAACATACATGACATGAATTCACAGCTGATCAAAGACTCTTTCTGTTGCAAGTTTTACTCTCTTCTAAAATTCTCCCCTAAAATTCAGTAGGTAGACATGAAAAATATATATATTAAGCGATCTTTGGCTCCCCCTGCTGAAACAGAAATGATCTATGTTGAACTGTTTTTAAATAGCATGAAACGGAAAGGTCTTTTCAGTATTCGCAGGGTTCGAAGCGCCGTGCTAGTTTGAGGGATGGAAAGATTCATAAGGCGAAGTCCTCTTCTCGGGAACGTTTACGGCGTAGTGGGGAGATGAATAAACAAACGGGGTGTTCGCGGCAGTTTCTGTGATAGAGATGTGAGGATCTGCAGGGGACACACAGTTGCTGGGTCCCTGGGCGCCCTGGGGCGGCTGAGGTCAGAGTCCCCGAGGCCAGGACCCCGCCTGGCGGGAGGGTGCAGAAGGGGTGAGAGCGAGGGACACCCCGCGGGCGCGGCCCAGGCGCACTAGGTGGCTGCTGCTGTTTGTCGTCCAGGAGAGGCTGCCAGTGTTTATCCCAATTCCCAGAAAAGTCCCTGTTTCACCGTGTCCTCAACAACACCGGAAATCAGGGTTTTTTTCCAATTTTGTCAATATGTTAAAAAAAGTCATTCTTGTTTTGCTTTGTTTTTCTTCAACTACTAGTGAGTTTTAACATTACTTACATATTATTATCTACTATTAATAACTATTTTATGGAACTTTGCAGATCTCAGTCTGGAAAACACCAACTTAGTTTACACATTGGCCGGCTGGCAACGTGAGCTTTGCTGACGTGGGTTGTTAAAGGGCAGAATCACAACAGATTTAAAGATCTTAGTTGGCTCTTATCTGCCATCCTAGAGTCGGGCAACACCGCATTCTGTAAAAGAGGGCGAATGCTCCCAGAGCCCAGCAGCGGAGGCTGGTTTTCGAGACAGAAGGGAGGAGACACAGAACACACTGTGAACAGGTGGACAGGGGGTCGCTTTGGAGGGACTCTCCATGTGAGGGTTAAAGCAGACAGGACTTCCTCGTGCAGCCAGGACGCCTGTTTGGAAATGGCTGTTCTCTCTCTCCTGATTCCTGGGAAGGTCGGGTGGGAATCCCAGCGTTGTCCTGGAGCCTCGGCAGGAGCGACTCCCTCTGGGGGCTCTGTGGGGCCTGGTGCGGGAGCTGCGTCCAGACCAAGCCTCCTGTCGATTTGCTTAACAACCTGGAGGCAACTTCTTCCCTCTTCGATTCTATAAGTCAAATAATCAATGTCTCTTTTTATATATAAGTAACACTGAACACTGACGAATTATGGAAACAATCTTATAAATGTTGGCTGTTGGAGACCTCGACCTCTCCTCCCCTCCTGTCTGGCTGGCAACGGGAGTGGAGACTGCTGGCGACACACACATGCGCACACACACACATGCTCACGCGCACACATACACATGCACATGTAGCAGCACACACACACACGTGTGCACACACACTTGCGCACACGCATGGGGCAGAGGGCTTCCCGAAGGGGCTGCGGGGGCCCTGCTGGCGTGAGCTCAGAGGCTGGACTCTGCTGCGGAAGCAAACAGCCCACAGTATGTAACTGAGTCACTCTAGGTCTGAGTCACTCTAGGTCTGAGTCAGACTTTAGGTTGACATATTAGTCAAGACAGTTTTTGTTGCAACTGGCAAACCCAACTCAAATACCGAAAGCTGGGGTGGTGGGGGAGTTACAGAGACAGAATTTACTGGTGTCCGCTTCAGACACAGCCCGACTCAGGGCACCCAGACGAACTTCAGGATCTGTAGCTCCGTCGTCTCTGCAACCCCAGGTCCCCGCACACCCGGGCCGTGCCTCTCTGTGCGGCAGCCACACCCACTGCTGGTGCGGGGTGTGCAGGGCTGCGTGGGGTGTGACGGGTGTGCAGGTGTGCGGGGTGTGCAGGGGTGCGTGGCCGTGCCGCTGTCCCACCCAGAGCAGCACTCCCCAGAGGTCTGCTGGAGCCAGGGAGGAGGACCCTCAAGAGTGGAGAGGGGGCCGGGCGCGGTGGCTCACGCCTGTAATCCTAGCACTCTGGGAGGCCGAGGCGGGCGGATTGTTTGAGCTCAGGAGTTCGAAACCAGCCTGAGCAAGAGCGAGACCCTGTCTCTACCAAAAATAGAAATAAATTAATCAGACAACTAAAAATATATAGAAAAAATTAGCCAGGCATGGTGGCGCATGCCTGTAGTCCCAGCTACTCGGGAGGCTGAAGCAGTAGGATCGCTTGAGCCCAGGAGTTTGAGGTTGCTGTGAGCTAGGCTGATGCCACGGCACTCTCCCCCGGGCAATACAGTGAGACTCTGTCTCAAAAAAAAAAAAAAAAAAAGAGTGGAGAGGGAAAGGCAGGAGGACCACGCCTGCTGCAAGAGACAACCTGGAGCACGGCTGGGGCACAGGGGAGCTTCCCACCTTTTTTATTTCAGTTTCCATTTCATTTGGCAAACAAACAAGTAGCAATTTCTACTTGCCGGGCATGTTCTAAGCGCTTTATAAATGTTAACTTTAGTAATCCTCATTAGAACCATGTCAAGCAATACTAGTAAGTCTTCCCTTTTACAGTTAAGGAAACTGAGGCACAGAGAGGCTAAGTGACTTGCCTGAGGTCACACAGCTACTCAGCAGCAAGGCAAGCCAGACGTGCACCCTGGTAGGCTGGCTCCAGAGCATGTAGCCCGTACGGCTGTGCGGCCCTCTCTGCAGAGGGAAGGAGTGTGGACGGAGACTATGCACCTCTCATGGCCCCGGGGAATGGCGCCTAGGGAATGAGAGACTGGTCTGCAAAAATGTAGAGGGAAAAAACGCATGATGATTATTTTGTTGATAAAACACTTCATCCTAAGAAAGGATTTTGCTGTGTTTTTCTCTAGGATGCTGAAACTAGCAGAGGAGAATCTGAAAAGAAGAGAAACCTCAGCGAACTTTCCCAAGCAGCCTCGGAAGACAGCGACGTGTTCGGTAGGTGACACACACAGGACCACGTGGCCCCACGTGGTGGCGCTGTGCGGGTGCTCTCCTCTGGGGAAGCGTTTAGTTTTATGATTTCGGGGGTGATCTGTGGGTCTGCTCTCGTCATTAACAACGTAGACTGTGCAGAAATGTGGCGGAGACAGCCCCTTCCTCTGGTTTTTGGTTTTGTTTTTGATTTGCATGGCTTCTTTTACACACAGACTCCTGACATTTCCTAGGTTTTTCCCTCCTATGTGGTACTTCCCTCATCATCTATTTGTCCATTTGTGTGTGGGCATTAGGAAGTGCTCATAAAATAGTGCTCATAAAAAATAACTAACGAGGAAGTGGACCTGCCCCGGTGATGCAGAGGCACTGGGAAACAACTGCTGTCTGCAAAATTCTACTTTTTTTATTGCTTTCCTGAATATAAATTGCCTTTACATACCGCTATGGTTTGAACGCATCCCCCAAATTCCACGTGTTGGAACCTTGATCCCAAATTCATATGTTGGTTGGAGCGGGGGCCTCTGGGAGGTAATTAGGATTAGATGAGCTCATCAGAGCAGGGTCCCCTGGTGGACGGGGGGCTTTCTAGTTGATGAAGAGAGACCTGAGCCGGCACACCTGTCACGACGCGGCAGAAGCCACGCAGGGGCTGGGGCCGTGCCCTCGGACTTCCAGCCCCCAGAACTCTTGCAGTTCTTTACTTCATAAATTTCTTTACTTTAAAAGTTACGCAGTCTCAGGCATTCAGCTGCAGCAACAGAAAACAAACTAAGACATACTGACGTTGACCTTCATTCCTGCTTTCCGTGAGCGGGTGACGGTGGTCCCGTTCGATTTTTGCGCTGGCGAGGTGGGACCCGCTCTGTCACCACACGGAAGCTCAGTGACCTTCCCAAGACCGCACGGCTGCGCAGACGCTCCGTGCAGCCCTGTGCCGTGCGCACTGCTCCTTCTTCCCCCCACGGGGTCCCAAAGTGCAGAGAACGAACAGGTGGCGTCGAACATGCGGATCCTGAGACCCACCGGCATGTCAGAGGGGAGGGGTGGTTTCTGCTAATAGAATAAGCACCCCTGGACCCAGGGCAGCCCAGCGTGGCGGCCGTGGACGTTCAGGGCAAACAGGCCCCCTGGCCACGTTCCCTGGCCGGTGTCTGCTCAGCTGTGGAAAGGTCTTTCTTCATTCCTCGCTTGTTAGGCAGAATGATCCACCTCTGTGGTTTTTGTTCCCGATTAACTGGCTCTTTTTCAAAAGTTCCTTCCTTTCTGTGATTTCATTCTTCTTGAGCAAACGCACATAATCACAAGTACACCAGTGGTAGTGCGGTCAGGAGACCGTCCGCAGGAGTCACCCGCGGGCATCTGCAGCTGAGCTTGACTCGCGTTGAGTCCGGAGCAGGGGCGGTGCGAGGCGCCTGCCGGCTCACCCCGCGCTGCCTTCCTCTGGCGTGAGTGAGGGCGGCCGGGCCGCCCCTGCCTCCCTCCAGCCACGCGCACCGCAGTCCCCAGCAGGGCAGGTGGGGGTCCCCGCCTGCTGGGCGTCGGCTTCTGAGCTCCATGACGTCCCATCCCTAAAGTCCTCCCTGGAAGCCGCAGAAGCTCCGTGTAGAGGTGCAGGGTGCTGAGCAAAAGGAAGCGAAACTCATCCCAGTGGTGAATCTTGACAGTGTGATCTCAGAGCACACGCGTGACAGTTTTTAAATTAGGACATTCTGTTCACATGTCACTCAGATGACGGCAGCGGCTCCCGCCCACTTTACAGAAAGGTCTTTGCTTGGCGGGAAGGCAAATTCTGTCAGTCTGTGAGGAAACCCTGCCTCCCATGTGCTGTGGGCACGCGAGCCGCGAGGGCCAGGCTCACGCTCGGAGCCCACAGCCACGCGGGCAACCGAAGCCGGGCGGACTCCGCCGCACCGTCGCGACGGCGGGGCCGGTCCTTGACAGAGCGGGCTCCGTAGCGCTTTGCGCACTGTCCGTTTCCTGGTGCGGAGCCCACAGAAGCGCTGTTTTGGGTCTAGGCCGGTGACCCAGCAGAGCAGGCCTTCGCGACTCTGTCATTTTGCCCTCGGTGCTGTGGTTCGATCTCAGGACTGTTTTTCCCAGTTACAGGAGGAGGAAGACAACACTTTAAGGCAGAGCGGCCTGGACAACCCCGTGTTGTGTGAGCTCCGGGGAGCCGGCTCGTTCGTGGCAGACCCGTGGCCGAGCCTCTCTGAGCCACATGCACACACACCGCGCACTCTGCCCGCGTTCGCACGGCTCACGGATCCGGGGCTGAGACAAAGGCGGGCAGTTCACTGAGGGAGCCGAGTCCTAGGTGTCCCTGCATTAGAATGACAAAGGACAGGAGCCACCGAGAGGGGGCGCCACTGCTCCTCGGGAACACACTGCTCAGAGGCAGACGGGAAGGACGGGCTCGCCTCGCCTTGCGCCTGCGCTCACTCCCGCGGCAGGTGTCGGAGATAAAAGCGCAGCCCGCCCGCCTGCGTGCACAGCGCGGCCAGGGCTAAGTCCCGTGCGTGTTGCAGACAAGGGCACGCTCCCTGTCAAAGTCATGTAGAAAACATCCTGGTTCATCGCTCAGACAATGGGGACAGAATTACCTGTGGTTAATGCTTGTGCTGACGGACTTGCGCGTGTGTGTTTACTCCTCTTTGTTTCACAAAGCTGGAGTCGGCCTACAGTGAGAGGACACGCGGAAACAGTAAAACATAAATACAATTGTGAAGTCTAGATCAATAAAGTAAGGCCATAAATATGTCAGCCACGTAACAATTGCCACACTGAAACGTCACACTTCACTCTGTACACCCAGCTGCCTACACGGAAGGGAGACCCTCCGGGTTGACATTTCTCGTGTCACGCGGCAGGCAGTGCAGCCCCACCCCCCGTGAGCCACGCAACTCTGGCAATTTGCTCATCTTTTGTATCTTGGTTTCCTCACCTGCCAGACATACTGAGAATTTTTTTTGTTTAAATTTTTATCACAGATGAGTCACATGGTAGCCAACGACACTGAGGTGTTTTTATAGCAAATGTGGTGATTAGTTCCATCTGCACTCTATTGTATTAATAATTAACTTCAATAAAAGCCAATGATGCAACAGAAATCTTTGGCATTGAAATCCAGGATAACAGGACCCCAGGGTACAGACTTCTGAGGGCCTAATATGACCCACGGACAGAATTAAAAATATGTAGGGTCACTTTCCTGAGCCAGGACTCTGACAGGCACCTGACCGCACAGAGTCCCAGGTCCCGGTTTCCAAGAAAGCTGGTGTTCCGTGTGCCACTCGCGAAGGGACCTCGTGCCCCCGTCCCACTGGGGTGAGCCGCGAGCTCCAAAGAGGAAGAAGAGAGCATCTGCCTGGGAGACAGCAGATGTGCTGGTCGGCTCGGCCCCCGGACTTCCTCAGCTGACGGCTCAACCTGACCCCTTCCTGCGTGACCCACGGCAGGCGTTGGCAGCCGCAGCGCCTCACAGCACTAGTGCAAGCCTAGGCCCTTTGACACTGCCAGGAAGGGATTAAAAATGAAAAGAAGAAACTTTTTGGCAGCAACGAAGATTAGTCCCACATCAAACGTGGTCTGGCCGCGACGGAAGGCACGTCAGGGTGTCGCGTGCCTGAGAACGTCTGTAACGAGAGGAGTCAGGCTGGGCTGGACGCCCGGGGACGGGCGCAGTCAGCACCGTCAGCAACGTCGTTGACATTTTCATGTCCAGTAAAAGAAAAGGCAACAAGCGATGCTGGCCTGCGACCCCGAGGTCCTGGTAGATCAGTCTCCGTGAGGACGGACTTTGTCTTAGAGTCTGTGTGATTCCAAATCAGACCATGAGCTTCGATGAAAGAGGAACTTTGGACGGCTTTGCTGCCTCTGCCGCGGACCCAGTAAAGCCCCAGCTCCTGGCTGGTGCTCAGGCCCCTCACCAGCTCACCCGTTTGGTTTTCTGTCCTGCTGCTGCGCTGCCTCCCAGGCAGGGTGTGGGCAGCTGGTTAAATGCCAGCCTCTGCTCCCCCCACCAGGCGGCTGGGGGCTGGGCTCTGCTTTCCCAGCAAGTCTCTCTGCGGGTGGCTGGCGGGACGCAGGCTGGTAAACGGCTCGCTGGCCCCGTGCAGACAGGACAGGCCGACGCAGACACCGAGCTCCCGCCCCTCCTGCGCAGTCCCCTCCCCAGATGCTCCCTCTGCTGCCTCCACTCGGGCCCTCTAGGGTCTCGCCGGACATGTTAGAGGCCTGTTGTTTACGTGGGGACCACAGAGATGGAGGATCCCTCAGGGCCCAGTATCTGCTCAGGTTATCTGTGATGAGTGACGGGCACAGAAATGAACCTGCAAACCCAAAGGACGTCTCCGCGAAAGGCGCTCAGGCTGCCCCAACCCCAACCCCCTGGCTCGGCCACGGGTCAGCTGGGCTTTGCGCTTCTCCACCTCTGAGAGGCCCCGGGAACAGCATGGCTTTGCAGGGAGCCACTGCTGGGGGGTGGTGTCCTGTCCATCCCGCCTCCCGGTGACAGAACTCTGCCTTCCCTTCCCGGCCCCTGCTGGAGGTGCAGAGAGCAGTGTCGGGGGGGACGGGCTCAAGCCCAGTGTCACGTTAGGCAGCCTCCCAGAGGGGGCTCCACTCATTGCAAAGCCCATTCCACAGTGAATTAAGATGATTCTTAAGTAATTTAAGGTTTCATTATCAGCATTTAAACTATGCTATTCTCTTGTATTTTTCCCTTCAATTGTACAGTATTTAGCCATATCACTCTCCAAAGAAGTTTTGTGGATCTTAAATCCCATCTGTCATATTTCAGTAGAAAAATGTTGTCCGAGTGTATAAATGTGCACCTTACAAATTAACTTTTATAATGCGAATAACTAATATGTTGTTGGAAATATATTGACAAAAGAGTTTTGGAGGGTTTTTTTGTTTGTTTCTTTCCACTTGTATTGATGTATAAAAGCTTTGTGATTTATAATTTTTCACCTGTGTTATCAAACTTCCTATACGCACAA